AATTCTTTATTCTACTTTTACAGTCTCACAATAGAAGGGATATCGTTTGATGACATCAAGGTTCACAGGGCTATTTCGGTCTCGAATTGCAGGCTCTGATCACTCTAATGGGAAACGGTTGTATCTGGGGTCACTCTAAGACACATCGGAATTAACAACCCGTCGGTTTGTCACTGTTGTACTCCTTATGTAGGGCGACGAAACTGTGGAATTTCTAGCCGGCTGAAGCGATTGAATTCGGATGACGCGCATTTGAACAACGTCGGGACAACAAAGCAGAAATTTGCAGCAGTGTAAAGACTGATATCTTTAACGTGAGATAGAAATGAAGAGTGGGAGTCACACATAAAAAAAGTTGAAAGAGAAAAGAATAGGCAACTTCGGTTGAATCGAAACAGATATGGAATAGAGGTAAACAGGCTTCCACTGAACTTATCATTTATGAACGCATAATATCTTTATCGTTGCATGAACGATCTGCATGAAACGATGAATATATTATGCGTTTGGAATTGGGACTTAAATCATAGAGTAATCACAAAGGTATTGACTGAGTGACGAAGCATTAAGGAAATGATACATGCGCATAAGGAAGCCGAATTATTTAACCTGTGTGCATTGTGAGCTTGGCAGCGATCCAGGATGTTCGAATCAGTGTAGTGTATTGTAAGGTGATGATGACAGTCTGTCGGAAGTTTGGACGCCGTTTAACGGTCTGAAGTTCCTAAACGCCATTCAATTGTTCTGCATGCCTACCAATGCTCCATTCGTGGTTCATCCCCATTCACCTCCCCTGGCTTAACAAAGCTCAGATTCGCCTTACACTTGAATACTGCAGTCCATTGTGGGGTGGAGCTTCGTCTACCTCACTATCTCTTCTTGAATTCAACGTAAAGCCATGTGTCTCATCAACGACCCGTCCCTAACATCCAACTTGCTGTCACTAGCTCACCGTCGGGCAGTCGCTTCTTTATCCTTGTTCTATCGATACAACTTTGGATTTTGCTCTGATGAACTTTCCGCACCTGTCCCTCTCCCGCTTGTTCTTTCTCGTAGATCCCACGTACAAGCAGCTAGTGACTAGTGACTATCGCTAGGTGTCGCATTTCAATCATCTTT